AGCGTTCAACGCGAGCAGGCGACACCTTGGCTGCCATCTATGCGCTGCTCGAGCGCGCCCTCTCCAAGAAGAACGGAGCTGCGGCTGGTGAACCCGAGGGCAGCCCTGGCAATCGCCCGGACGAGCCCTTGTCCGAGGGTGACGAGGATGCTGCCGCTGCAGCGGCCGTAACAGCCACACTGGCAGGTCCCAGCACTGCTAGCGCCGGGTCCTTCGTCATAAGCTCCCTCCTTCAAGTTCTGGCAGCCAATGTGCAGCACCTCATCCAGGTACAGTGCCTCTTGCTCGATGGTTGCTTTCGACACTCCCCGACAAAGCTGGCATGTTGTGTGCAGGTGCTCTCGCCCGAGGAAGCCAGCAAAAGCTTTGGGCTCGTGCTTCTGGACATCCGAGACCTTCTCCTCCGGCTTGCGCTGGGCCGAGTGCTGCCGCAACCCACAACGACCACCACTACCACGACCACCGCACCCGATTCACAGACCGGAGAAAAGCGGCCGGGAGACAAAACGCACGATCGGGTCGTGCAGGCCGACGCCCGGCGCTGCTTGCTGGTGGGCCTGCCCATCTTCTACCCGACGCACGACAAGCAGGTCCAGTTCTTGCACGAACTGCTGGCCATTCTCCAAGTCGAGGAGGAGAAGACGTCCGTCGCAACGGAGGGCCAAACGCCGCACCACACTGCGCACAGCCACCTCCCAAGCCCTGCGAGGCTCCTCCTCGACGACCTGCTCGAGAAGCTCTCCCAGGAGCTTGCCCTCGGCCTGGGCGACATGCTCTTCGCTCCGATCCTGTCGGAGGTCGAAGCCACCGGGGCGCAGCGCAAGGAGCGCGGGGCCGCCGACGCTGAGCCATCGAGTACCGCGGAGGCCATGGACCGGGCAGTTGTCACGAGCGAGTCCTCGGAGAAGCTGGTGCGCGACCTGATCGAGCTCGCCGTGGGGCTGATGAAGAAGAGCAGCGAGGATGCCAAGGTGAGGAAGACCCGCATGGAGCAGGAGGTCAGATCGCTGTTGCTCGACACCGAGGGCTCGCCGGTCGGACCGACGGCTGCCGAGGAGGCGCGCACAATCTACAACGTGCTTCTCGCCGTGCAGAGGGACCTGCTCAGCTCTATCGGCTTCTCCCCCAGCATCGAGTCCTCTGGAGAAGAAGAGGAGGAACCCGCCATCGCCGAGTCTG